GCTGTAATGGCCAATCTGTGCTAGTTAAGACTTGCTTTGGTAATTCCATGAGGAATGGATCCTTTTACCAGACAACAAAGTTCACTTTCGTACCATTGACAGCATAACAATGAAGACTGTACAATACAGTATTTTTGCATTATTTTCCTGTCGCAACGTTTCACATTTGATTTTGTCTGTTAAAACAATACGCAGTAAAAGGGAAATATAAAAATAAAACAAAAATGAAGGCTGTTTATGTAACCAAGACAAATGAACCCGAAGCTGCATACTGAGTTGTGTGCATATTACTCTTTTGGAAAAAAATAAAAAATAAATAAATACTACAGAACAAATGCAGAAAACAGTTATGGACCATGGACCTCCACTTCCTGAAAAAACAGCCTGATCGAAGCAGGACATACCGCAATACTGAGAGACGAGAGTCATGGAACAAAACAGCAGCTGATTGGTAATACTAAAATATTAAATAGAATTAATTATAAATAAAATATTAATGAAATGTTGTGACTTTTTATGTTGTCGATTGAAGGATACCCTTCAAACAGCATGCATAATGATTTATACAGACAGAACTGGGCTTTTGTACCTTCGTATTGTGCTGTTTGTTCCCACAAAGTTGCAGAAGGGCCCAAGAGTTTATTTATTGTGGGTACCAAAACGTAACGGAGAACTAATTTAGATTTATTTAGATGATATAAATCACCAACTCTGTGCTCATCCTAGTGGCATTTTAGCAACTGCAGCAGATTTCATCTGGGGAGTCCCAGAATAGACCCTTCCTCTTTTCCTGCGCCCCCACTCCTTCCACCCTCTCTCTCTACAGCTCTCTTGGCAAAGCGAAGGAGATGCTGGTCAAAAATTAGTACGGGAAGAGATACGAAAAGCCTATGTTTGGGCTGTGCCACATGCCGAGAAGGCACCGCGAGAAACACCTGGGGCCCTGCCGGGGTAAAGCAGACTGAAACACCATGACTAGCCTGACACTCACAGATACTGTAGAACAGTGTTGATAGTACAAAGGAGGAGGTTTCTACGGTCCAAAATTGAAGATGTGCGTGGAACATTAAGTGAGGACCTAACAGAGACAGACATTCGTAAAAAAGACACTACTGCTGTACAGTCATATCCCATCGGCAGTCTGCACCGTACCAATATATGCTCTCTCTGTTAAGCAAACAGTAAACATAAACACTAAAATCTGTAATTGCACCTGAAATCTTTCTGGGAAATAAATACAATTTGTACATACGTGTGATGCTTGTAAACAGCATGTACCTGCCCAAACAAGACTTTTGGATTATGGTGTCTTCATATGATGAACCTCCCTTTTTTTGCAGCGAATAAAATCACAATAAAGCACTGAACTCATACAAGACAGAACGCATTGATTCGCTCTGGAGACAGCACATGAACAAATAAAAACAAGCATAGAAGTCCATTAAAACAAAAAGGATCCTTTTGTTGTGCCACAGGGTTGTGTGCTAGGGCTCTCATGGTTTCCGGCATCTCTGCAGGAGCTTCATGGGACAGTCCTTAGTCTGTAATGAGAAAAAGAGAGAGGCAGGATTAACCCACGAACCAATTGAAGGTAAGATACCATCACTCCCATTAAATTCATCTTACCACTCAGTGTTTAATGATGGTGCCATTTATAGAAGGTATAAATGTTAGCTCACCCAAAAATGAAAATTGTGAAAATCACTTCTTGTCATTCTATCCAAACCCATAAGACATTTACTCATTTCGGAAACACAATAAAAAATATAGCTGCAAGCAGCGATGGCGGGCCCAAGCCGTCAGTGCAAACGCCATCCCGGAGGCATCAGGAGAACGGTGCACAGCGGGCACATGCATTTACAGTAACCCTCAGGCAGTCTGGTTTTAAGGGATACGGCAATTAAAGGGTTAATCCGAACCATCAAGACTGTGAAACACACATACACAGAACAATATATAAAACTTTAGTAACACTTTACAATAAGGTTTCAGTTATTAACATTAACTGTATTAATTAACATGAACAATAATTATATAGCATGTATTATTGTCAGTTAATATTCAAAACTTAGACATTAAATAAATTGGTAACACTTTATAATAACTGCACACTATGAATCATTGTAAGATTTTTAATGTTTTGAATTAAGTCTCATACCCATCAAGGTTGTATTTATGAAAACAGTAGAAACAGTAAAAAATGTGCAATATTATTACAATTTAAAATAACAGTTTTATATTATAATATATTTTTAAAAATAAAATATGCATTTTAATAATATATGTCATTGAGAGCATTTACATGCACGTTCTTAAGCCAATTATGCTTAATAAGCCGAAAATGCACTTGGTCATGTAAACGCGGTAACCCGTTTTCTTTGATCGGAGTAAGATCATAAACGCCGTAAGCATAAACCGGTCGCAACAGGTAGTTTTTTGCCTCTTACTCCGATTTCGCACAGCATGTAAACACAATAACCCGCTTTCTGTTAGTGCAGATTTAAGCCCATCTAGACCGAGCAAACATCTTGCAGTAAAGAAAGAAGGAAATATATCACAAAAGCAGACTTTTTCATGACTCAGAAAATGATAAAAATGTGTTCTCATCTCATGCAGCAGAAGTAGAAGTGGTTCAGTCACAATGCTGCGTTTATAAGTGCATGAGAGGATAATATATACGAGCTGTAAGTTTCCCGACATGTTGCAAGTTGACATGTTGCAAGCTTAATTTAACATCACAACTGACAAATGTATGGAATACTTGGAGTCAGATACGCAAATGATTATATTTTGACGTCACTACAGGGAAATAACC